ACCACGCTGCCTACACACAGAGATTTCTGAGTGGTAAATCCTCCACATGAAATTTAAAGATCACCAGCTGGGAAAGTTTCAGGAATAATGTTTCTCATGCACAGAAATAACAATTAATGGTCCGCTAAAGGTCATTTTGTGTGTTGAGATTTCTGCCACTGAGTGAAAAGTGAATTGCTCCAGGGGATTTAGAGCTACAATAAGGCTTATCTCAGGCTTAACGGCTGTGTGCTTTGTGTTTTCAATAAGAAGTGAGGAAATAGCAGCAAAATAAGCCAGATAACATCCATGCTCATGGTGTCTTTGTGTTTACTATTTCATCTTGGCTTTGACGGGTTTTTTTTACGGTCACTCTAAGATGAATAAAATCCTCTGAAAGTTTTGGTCCAAATCTGCCTCCATACATCAGCCCCATATCATCTGTGTGGAAGTGGCCAGAAACACATCACCTGACTCTGCTGATCTCCCCACCCCCACAGGAGCTTTATATACTGTTGCTTGGCTCTTTGTGTTTTTTTGTTTTGTTTGTTTGTTTGTTTGTTTTTAAGCCAGCAGCTGAAATTGGGTCACTCTCACTGTGCTCTCCTTGCTGAGCCATTTCCAGAAACTCCAAGAACTTTCTGTCTGCAAGCTGCCCAAAGTGATAATAAACAAGTTAGCTTCGGCCTGCTAAACAAGCAGGAGGGTTCAGCAGCTGGAGCTTCACATATACACTCACACAACATGGAGCAAAAATGAAAATATAGAAACAATATTCCTATCTATCTATATATTTAATCAGTTTACTTTAAATGTTTGCAGGTATTGTTCCAAATAGTAAATAACAATCTGTTCAACCCTAGTTTGGAGAAAAAAAAATCATAGTTTCGGCCAGACTGATAAGCTAAAGGCTAGTTACAGTGGAGTCAGCTTTAAAGTGTTTTGAAACTTTAACGTCAAAGGAATGCTTTTTCATCACCTGTTACACAACTATTATAGATGTTCTTGTTACATAATAATTAAACAACAGACTCAAAACATGAAACAACTGTTTTGCTAAATGTGTAGCAGTGTAAAATAATGCTGGCACAAACCACTGTGATGTTGTTTGATCGGTTGTTTTGAGTTGATAAAACTTCAGGACTGACTCGCACTAACCGTATTAGTCAGAACTGATTTAATCTGCATTTCTCCAAACTGAGGTTGTTCAAGAAACTATATTTCATGATCTTTCCACAGATCTCCACTTTAAAGTATCTAAATGTGCCTCTTTATTCAAAGTGAGTCACAATTAGCCGTTTCCCAGAAACCTTTATTTAAAGAAAACTTTCTCCCAAAAGGAGCATGAAGGACATTGACACTTTTTCCCAGACCTGCCTAAGCCCAAAGCAAACATGGCAGCTTATAATCTATCTGACTTTTAGACACATCCATGCATACTTTATTAGATAAACTGTAACTCGCCCAGAGTCTGCCCCCCTCATTCTGACTCTCATTACAAAGCTTTGCTCTGGCTGCTTCCAGAAAAATGACTTGTAATCTCTGCAACGTAAGAATTAGGTCTCTCTCTCTCAACATTTGACACAATTCCTTGGAGTGAAATGATTAACGGTAAACCTCCGGTCGTCATGCAGGAGGGATTTCCGTCATTTCGTCCCGAGAAAGCACATAACTGCGTTCTGAGACAGATTTTCCAGGCAATACTTTTAGTCCGTGCAACAAATCAAAGACTTCTAGCTGAGACAGCTTTACATTTTTTAGCCTGCACTCATTAGTGAGCTTTTCAATCCTTACAGGGGTTTTAAATACGATGAACATGCAGAAAATGTTGGTTTTGTGAACCCAGATTGGTCCCCGCTCCTTAAATAGCCCCTTGGATAGTAGATCACAATCAGTGGGTCATGAGCTTAAAGTGGGTCAGAGGGGCTGTTCTGACAAGTTTACCCTCATGGAACGAGCCAGAGTCAACACTTATCCAGTTGTCTTTACGATCTGAACAAGGATAAAACAACTCACTAGCATGCGCATCATGTTTATGCATGCATTGTTATCTAAATGTGACCAAAACAGCTCTGGTGATCATGAGTTTATGGTATGACGGGAACGTTGGAGCTTTATTATTACCAGATGTAAACAGACATCTGGCTGGTGTGTCCTCTTGTGGAGTGATAAACGTCACTGTGGTGCCAGTATCCCACCACCAAGAGACAAACGTGGCCACCAAATGTTGCAGCAGAGACAACCATAAGGAGTTGGGACAGGGAAAATGCAACTGGAAGTCTAAACCATCTCAGCTCAGATAAACATCTCAGACAAACCTTAGATTCTGCTGAACTTGTCTCACACTTCGAGGGACAACTGTAGCGTTGATAAAGGGCCGCTGGTCTCGTTCTCTAATGACATCACTTTCAAACAGTGAAGAGATGAGATTTGGTTCATTAGGCATTTTTTTTTCTCTCTGGGTCCCAATTAGCAGAACTTTGTGAACAAGTTGCGACTGTCCATAGCGGTCCCTTCTGGGGAACAAGGAGCAGTTAGTTTAGACCCAATTAAACTTTAGGGGAAGGAGGAACCCCACGGCCTTTATTCTGTCTGCAGCACTGAGAAACTAAAGGAAATAGTCAGTGCGGCTCCGAAAATTAAAAGAAAAGTACAACTTTACAAGCAGAAACAACGGCTGAAAGGAAATTAGTGAAATAAGAGCCAAAGAAAGAGCATGAAAAGCTTTTCTACTGGGCTTGAAAAGAAGCAACTCAACGTTCTTTATAAAGCTTTGATGAATGACTTGTTTTAGACTTGGCATGGAAGTTTTGGGTTTAATCTAACTAATATATTGCAAAGCAAAACTGTAATTAAACATGATCTCATTAAGCGTCTCTGCATCCTGTCGGGGCGACACTCCTCCTCACAACTCGTCAGATCAACATAATCCAACTGAGAGTGAGGAAGAGTTCACTGAAAACAATAAGTGTTTGTTTTAAAGAGGGTTTCTGCAGCTTTGGGCTGATGAGTTGGAGGATAAACTTCAGGTTAGTGCTGAATTTCTGAGCTGATCTTCAAGGTATTGATTCATGTGGACTTTGTTGTCCATAAGAACCTCACAGCACAGAAATGACGTCAAAAGGCCAAGAGGAAGAGATTTTATGATTTGAAGGATCTCACAAACAAGCAGCTTGTGGATTAAACAGGATTTTATGCTAAAATCGCAACAAATCTCCCACAACTTAAAGGCTGTTTTAATGCAAAATATTGTGTTTTCTAAAAATGTAAGATTTTCTATCTAAAGATGCACCGATTCTGCTTTTAAAGGCTGATACAGTTTACCAATTCTTACACAGTTCTGAGCTGCCAATACTGGTTTTGACCAATTCCCAATCATCTCAACCAGGGGTGGTGGAGTGTGTGTGTGTGTGTGTGTGTGTGTGGGGGGGGGGGGGGGGGGGGGGTCTTGCCCAAGGGCACAAAGACAGCAACAAAGCTTGGGCTTGAACCTGCAACCTTCCAATTACAGTGCCACCGTTGCCCTGTATAAATGTACAGGCTTATAACTGGAAGGCCTGCGTGCGTTGAAAAACTTCTCTAAAAAACAGAAAGTGTCAAGTGCCTTTTCAAAATTTTCTGTGTAAGTTTCTACGAACTACAGACTACAACAAAGTACATTCAGAACAAGTGCAGCTGCCGACAGATATAACCTAGGCCTACATCAAAACACAATTAGCATAGCCTGTAGGTCTTTATCAACAGCAAATGCACCTCGAATTGTGGACGTAGGCTACAAAGTAGAAAACAAATATTTTAACACTAGACACATGCCCATTCTACTTCTTGAGGTAAAGTGGCAGGTTTTTCTAGATGAAGAGTAACTTTTCTGCTTAGGCACACATAAGTCTGTTCCTCTTCTCATCCAGAACATGAGCTGCAGCACCGTCAGTGCTTGTGCGGACAACAAAGCAGCGACAAAATGTTACTTTACGCGTGTTGCAGCTCCATGTTTCCATAAAAATATTTTTTGTTCACGAATTCAGACCTTCCTAAGGTATTAAAATCATACTCGCTACGTTTTTGGACTCCGAGTACACCGCCATGTTGGATTTCTGTTAAGTAAATGCGTGCACCACATTGGTCTAAAACGATTGCATGAGAGCTGCTTCACTACTTTCTCATTACGCTCAAAGCAAACTCCCAAATTAAAACACTGATTATAATAAAAAAGCATTACTAAAAGAGGAAAAACTTTACTTTTGAAATCAGTATGAAAGTACTGCTTTTATGAAGTAAAAATCAAGTAGCCACAAGAGGTCGGAGCGAGATGAAAAGAAAACGGGGTTCCCCTGACGACCTATTTCAGCTGTGTTCTTTAGGTGATTTAGGTATTTTGGCTGAAAACTGAAAATGCACAGCCAAAAATTTTCAGTGTCCAAATTTTTGGTGCTTCCCAAAACTTCGTCCTAAATTCTTCTCTGTTTCACTCACCATCACTAATCCGCTGTAGCATGAACAGATGTTTCATGTAAAAGTGGTATTCACTGTAAAGCAGGTGAATGGGGTCTGTGCGAAAATCAAAAACTGGTATCTGCCCTTAAAATCAGAATCGGTGCATCTCTGATTCGCAGGCTGTATCCCACATATATGCAGGACCATGAAGTTTCATAAGTTGTTCCACTTTGTGAAGGCTGCTCACTTATCTGTCTGCACACCATAACCTCACTGATTGTTTTGCATGCCTGTTGCTCATGGCACGTCTGAGGCTACCATGCAAAAGAACCTGTCTGTTGTAATGACAAGAACTGAACTGTGAACGCACAGATTCAAGCAGATAATCGGGCCTACGCTGCATTTTCTTTAAATCTCTGAATGTCACAGTAACCATTAAAAAGCTATGTGACACTGCAATCTTTACTTGTTTCAGAAAACAAAAGCCTTCAGTCAAGCGACATTCCTCGGGTCTACTCTCACTGCATGCAGACAACATGAAATCTGAGGTAATTGTTCCACAGCATCTCAGCCCTGGATCTGCTTACCATCGGCAGCCCTGGACGGAGAGATTTCCAAACTGTGCAAGAATCCCAGGAAAAGCAATCCCGCCGCCAGCGCGTTGGCCATGATGCGCAACATTGCAGCCTATCTGGGGGAATGGATCCTGTACATCAATCGGTGCTGCCAGAGCTGGAGGTTGCAGGCGAGAAGACGACGTGGAGAGCGAGCGAGATGCTCCTCGGTCAGTGGAGGATCTGCGCAGTCTGAACGCTGCTTGGGTCTGATGCAGACAAATAAATAAAAAGAGAAGGAGCTGAGGTTTCTCCCAGCCCGACGGAGGGAAGGGGGACTGCTGATGGTTAGGGGATCCTCCTAGGGTGCATGGACAGCCCGACCACAAAGACTATTGAGGCTGAAGTAAGAAGCAAGCTATCCCTGAGCGCACGCCTCTGATTACTTTGTCCGGCTTTTGTTCTCCCAGCCCCGCTGGAGAGGGAAACAAAGACGCGGATCAAACGCTCCTGTCCTCCACGGAACCTCTTCTTCTTCTGCTGGCTGCAGACTGAGCCTCAAACCTGGAGCTCAGTCCATCTAAGTGACGTCGCAACATCTCAGCTAGCCCTTCCTCCACCTCCTCCTCCCCCCCCCCCCCCCCCCCCTCCTCCTCCTCCTCCTCCTCCTCCTCCTCCAGACACCCGCCATTCACCTCCTACAAATCACACACGTGTTAAATTCAACATGCTGCAGAGCGACTGTTTTCTCATCATGTGGCGCAGACATAGCCCATCTCTCCTATATTTAACTTCAAATGTTTTACCTCAAATTTTTATTGTAGATTAAACAAGATCCACCTTCTCTAATATTGTCTGAAAAACTCCATAACTATGTAAAAAATTAAATTAGGTGTTATCCACTATTAGTTTATCTAGACAATTTCCCCAAAAATATGTTTCTTGTATTCCTTTTTTTTTTTGGAACAGAGGTGCTCCTAAGTGGCAGGGATGGGAGGGCGGTTGCCCTCTCCCTGAGCGTGATGGACCCCCTTAGACACCCTTTGCTTAATATTTCATATGGATTTAACAGATAAGATAAACAGTGTGTGAATATAAAACAATAAAACAAAAAAGTAAATAAACATACCATCTTTTTTTATTTCAGTGTCATCCCAATAAGATCAGTGATCCCATCTGTACATCTCTTTGAAAACTTGATGTTTTACAATAGAAAATAAAACAAACTATGATCGGAATACAACATTTACATTTGTATCCTTTTAATGTTACTTACTAGCCCTAAGGCCAAAGTGCATTCCCATGAATCCCATCTGTCCATATTTATTTATTTATTTATTTATATTTTGCTTATCCGGGGTCAGGTCGCTCGGGCAGCAGAGGCCCAAATATTCCTCTCCCCAGTCACTTAGGCCAGCTCCTCCATGGGAATCCTAAGGTGTTCGCAGGCCAGCTGAGAAACATAGTCCCTCCAGCGTGTCTTGGTTATTCCTTTAGTTCTCCTCCTGGTTGGACATGCCCAGAAAACCTCACTGGGGAGGCGTCCAGGAGGCATAACCAGATGCCTGAGCCACCTCAACTGGCTCCTCTTGATGTGGAGGAGCAGCGGATCAACTCTGAATCCCTCCAGGATGACCAAGCTTCTCACCTTATCCCTAAGAGAGAGCCCAGCCACCCTTTGAGGAAAATAAATTTTGGCCCCTTGTACCCCAATCTCATTCTTTCTGTCACTAATGTGGGAAGCCACTTCTGGCTGATTTTGCTAATCAGAGGCTCCCTCTAGTAGGTAGGTGTGAACTTCAGCCAGCCACTCAGTCGGTAGGGCTGAAAGAAAGATCAGATTAGCACAGAAAATGCACAGACAACCTAGATGTGAGCTCAATTACTCTACCAGGGCTTGACCGAGCCAACCCAGATGTAAACGCGCCAATAGTTGAGGTTTGGAACACAGATCTGCCAGTAAATGGTGAACTTCGCCTTCCGGCTCAACCCTCTCTCCACCACAAGAGAACGGTCCAACACCTGCATCTCTGCAGACACAGCACCAATCTTCCGATCGCTCTCCTGCTCCTTTTTTTTACTCATTCATGAACAGGACCCAAAGATACTTACCATTGTCTCAAAATAGCCCAAATTTCTCAAATCTTCCTGTGGTTCATATAGACATTCCTTTTACTTTTTTTACTCCATTGTCAATGGTGCATTACATAGTTATATACATGGAATGCTGTGGTAATTTACTAAAGTACATCCCCACTTCAGAAAAATTAAGCATTACCAGTATCCAAGCGTCAAGTCCAACAGGAGTTTCTTTGTACTTTAGCAGAAATAACAATGTAATGCAATATTTTCAGTTGTGTAAATATTTATAAAACAATGGGGAACAAAGGGACAGTTAGAAAAATAAAGCTTATAAAAAATGGCAGAAGTCCACTTGATTTTGGCTGTCTTGATCTTGTCACTAGTCGTTAGCTTATCAATCCAAAATGAAAACTATTTGTCTGAACAGAAGTTGTTCTAGACGCAATCTAGCAACTAATCCCTTTAAATGTATTTTATGTAGTGTTTTCATTTCTGATATCTGTTAGGTCAAAGCGTTGTAACAGTTTTGATGCAGTTCAGCTGCTTCTCCTGTTTCTAGGAGAACCATCCAGGATTGGACCTGACACTGATGTTCTGTTAGCACTTGGTACAGTGGGAGAAGCATTCAGCAATCCTGGAATTATTTATACACTTTATCATTTTCTGAGTCTTGAACATCGAGGACGCCACACCTGTTTTATGTTTTACTCACATTGATAGAATGGGACGGCCACTTTTCATTCTGATCAGGCAAAAAGCAGCTGAGTACTCTGGAGGATTGTCCAATTTGCTAACAGGGTAAATGTATTTATTTACATGGTTTAGTGGGTGGCAACAAGTATAAATGATCACCTGGACTTAACGGCAGTGTGATTTTATGGTTTTCACAAAAGGGAACTTTTAAAACAATTTAGCGGTTCTTGTAAATGGTGATGCAAACTGATTGAGATGCCTCCTGCATGTGAAATTTCAAATTTGGACACTAAAAAATCTGCAAATTGGTGGGATGAATAGCTGTGTGAATAAATAGTTGCAACATTTTGACCAACCTGTAGGAGATAGCACTTTGAGCAAACAAAAACCTACTCCTCAATGGTTTCCTGCCCCCCTCCCCCCAAAAAACCAATGGTTGTCAAGTCTAATAGACTATTTCTTTCAGTCTACCACAGCAGTGTCTCTGTTTTTCAAATCTCCTGCTGCCACTACGGCTGTCGTGAGCCGTCAAAACTCCTGGCAGACGTCTGCAGACACCCTGGGATCCTGACCATATTTTTAGATTCAACGTCTCTTTACATTTATCTTGACAAAGATGTCTGTCACTGTAGTCCACGTAAGAATCATCTTCAGTGACTGATCTCAGAGCATCTCAAGCATAGATCATTGTCAGATCATCTTATATTCATAAGCTCTGAACACAAAAAAATCCTAATTTCTAAACATTTTAGACAATGAAACATCTTCTGGATGTTTATTTAAAGAATGATGACTCCTATATGTTGAAATGTTTATTTAAACGTAAAGTTAGTTTTATTATTTTTGAGAACTGTTGTTTATGGTTTGGATGCTGCTCTGCCTCAGTGACACCTGTCATAACAAGGAAAATCCCAGAAGGGTTAGAGATGAGATGATGCGGACGTGGGACTGGAGCAAAACAAAGACAAAAGGTGAACAAACAATTCATTCCCTGATCAAGATGGAGAATGTGACATCATGACAGCAGGAACGTGCTCCTCCGCCCAGCTTATAGACTAAATACGTGCAGACAGCTCAAGTTTAAAAGCAGCATAAAAGCTTTTGACCAAAGTTTTCTTTCAAAACCCAAACAGAGAATATTAATTTTCTAAGGTAAACATATCAAAAGTTTCTGAATCAGAAACTCCCATTTTTCCAGGAAAACCTGAAAGATAAGCTCACATCCTTCCTTTACCTAATCATCTTTCAACCAGTCAATGATGTCTAAAAATCATTCAGGTTTCAGTCTAAAATCTACAAACGAGCTGTTGACCTTCTAGCCTCAAACGAAACCCTGAACTCTCTCTTTAATCAACATTCTTCACCATTTGAATGTTGTTGTTAGCTCATTGCACCAAACATGTACTTGAACAGGATTAAATTACAGTTAATCCTGCATAGACATGAACAAATATCCCCACAGAGGCAATCTGATCAAACTGGTGCGTATACTGACGTTTTGCAGTTCTGTCTGTGCAGCACTGACACCTAGTGGACATACACTGGCAGTAGAAGTTCAAAAGAACAAAGAGCCCTTTGTGTCTACCCAAAAAAGCTTTGTAAATACTGCTCCACCAAGAATTGTGGCCTTAAATATTACTTTTGTCTTCATCATTCTTTCAGAAAGACTTTTATTAGAATGAATTAAAGAACAAGAGAATATATTGAGGTGCAGCGCTGAATGGTATCCTGTTCAGAACATTTCACAGACGTGACATAATCAGACTCTCTGTTTGACGTCCATTGCTGTTACTGAGTTCACACCATGCTTCAAGAGAAATTGGAGTTTTGCTGGAGTGGTTTAATTTACTGTAATGAAGCTGAAACACACACTTCACACCAACACCTTTGATGCTGATTCAGCCCAAATGCTTTAGTGTGGTTCTGATCAAATTAAAAACAAACATGTTGTGAAAATGCAACAAGTGGTGAAAATAAATCAGAATTTCTAAAGTACAAACACAAAATGGGACATGTGAACTTCTCAGATGTCATCAAGCACCCAAACACAAACCACAGGCACACGTTGTTATATTACCTGTGGCAGCTCCACCTCCAGGGGGAGCTCTTTCTACAAACCTCTCAGCACAACAAATCTTACATCTACGGTGTTTGTGTTACTTTGAAAACCTTTAATCCGTGATTTTTTTGTCTGCGCTGCTCACTCTGAGGTAACGATGGCAATTTTAGATCTTTTTTATTTCTGGGGTTCAGATGATTTGATGCATCTCCAGCAGCCCTCCTGCCCCTCACAGAAGCTGCCCACTCTCCACCAATGATCCTGTCTCCTCTGAAAACCGAACTGGATAATCTCAGAAATAATCTGTCTGAAACTCCACTACTTGTCCTTCTACAATCACGATCTGTGTGTATTTTTACTATTTTTCTTTTCATAAAACACAAACTTCATCAAAAAGCATTTAAATGTCTCATCTCCGTCAGGAGTTTCCCAGAATGCACTGCTTCAGGCCCTGGTGTCGCTGACCTTCATCTGACACTTTCTTTTTCTTCCATTTAAATTAACATCAAGATCTAGTTTATTGGAGTTGAAACATCAGACCTCCTCTCAAGTATATTGGTTTCCTCTTCATAAAAAGATATATTTTTCATCTCTCAAACCTCCTTCATGAGGAAGATGAGGACTGAGTTTTAAGCTTGCAGGTTTAGTTTTTCCACACTTCTTTTCACCTAAGATCCCCAAAACAATTAATAGGAAATAAAGAAATCAAGCTTTATCCGAACCTATACTGGGATTATGTTTTCTCCATAACATAAA